TATGTATATAATTATGTATGTATGTGTGTATGCATGCATGCATCGATGTATGTATGTATGTATGTGTGTATGTATGTATGTATGTATGTATGTATGTATGTATGTATGTATGTCTGTATGTGTGTATGTAGGTATGTAGGTATGTAGTATGTAGGTATGTACGTAGGTATGTAGGTATGTAGGTATGTATGTATGCATGTATGCATGTATGTATGTAAGTATGTACGCAATGTAATGTAATGTAATGCAATGCATTGCAATGCAATGCAATGTAATGCAATGGAATGTAATGTAACGCATGCATGAATGGCTGTATGTATGTATGTATGTATGTATGTATGTATGTATGTATGTATGTGTGCATGTTTATATACACACATATGTACTATTATACCGATCAGAAACCGATCGTATAATGCACCCTAGGCCCCTTTCTTGAGTTCAGGGTGCCCTCGAAATCGAGGGATAAAGAGACGATTTCCGAAGATGCGATGTGACGGTTCTGTGGCCACATCGAAAATACGCAGGCATATGGAGGCATACATATACATATACGTAAATATACATATACGTATATATATATATATATAATTTTGTATATATATATATATATCTATATATATATGTATGTATGTATGTATATAATATACACACATGTGCTTTTACATATATGTGCACGTGCACACATGTACATACACACACACACACATGTAAGCATGTATCCTGATATGTGCATCAACAGCCAGATCGTGTTGCATAGATCGGCAAGTCGGAAGTAGTCAAGTAGACCGATGTATCAGGTTCTAAGGTAGACTAAGAACTGCACCCATGAGTGCCCCAAAGCCAAATTAATCTGTTACTTCTGGTGTGTGCTGAAGCTTGAGTGCGCGACGAGAGATTTTCATCCATGGAGCTCACAAATCGGGACCATGACTCGCAAAACTACATCGGATTGGTCCGGGCGAACTTATCGCGCCTTATGCAGCCCGCCAGATTCTGGCCCCTTATCCTCCTCCAAACCCTACACCCCCAACCCGCTACTCTAGATCCCAGAATGGGAGCGAAGACAAGCCCTAACCCACGTCTAAGCCTTAGGACATAAACTCAGACCGTAAACTCTGGAACTCCCTTCCTCTGCTCCAAAACCAGAAAACCCGAAAACCCCAAAACCCCAGCGCCCTTGGAGAGAGGCGCCCCGGTGGTTTTCAGCAGCCCAGCAGCGGAGGCGGAGGCAGCCCGGGCGCAGATGATGGAGGCCATGGCCCTCCCCCCCCCACGCTTCAGCTCAAGGTTCGAGGGTTCAGCGTTTGAGGGTTAGAGGGTGTGGGGTTTCGGGGTTCAAGGGTTCAGGGGTTTAGGGTTGAGTCGGGTTGAGGATTGAAATTTGGGGTTGAGATGGTCTCTTGGATGGGTGTGCACCTGTGCCGCACGGGCTAAGGCCGCGTGTGCCATGTAAAATAAAAAGGACGATTTGTTGCTCTGTGCGGCTGGCCTTTTGTATCGGGATCGGGGAAGAAGGGCCCGGACGCAGAAAAGATGGTGGATTTGAGAAGATTTCGATTTTGAGAATCAAGCCCAACTTATGCCGAAAGGCCTTGCGAGGTCGCAGTGTTGGGAGACGCTGTCGCTGGGAGGCCGCTAGAATAGAAGTCCGAAGCCAAAAACGCCTTCAAGAGGCTAGGGAGGTTTCTGGAGACCTATGTGCCTGTGGAGCAGTGCCTGAAGGCCACCTTGTCTAAGAACAAACACGGCGTGACGGCGGCGATCTGACAGGTGACTCGGGTTTGGGGGTGCCTCGTTTTCGTTCCGGCTACAGTGTTCGGTTAGTATTTTCGGGTTTAGTTTAGGGTGTAAGTTAATCGTCTGCCGGAAAGAACTTGTAGAGCCACGTGCGGGGGAGCGAAATGTTGCGAACCTGGACGTGAGCTACACTTCAACCAATGTCAGCATGCATACGGCAATGTGGGGTTGCTGACGCAATATCGGGCTGTCACACATGACGAATAATAACTATCTAGTAACGACGAATCTTGCAGTGCTCCGTATTTGCATCTAGGAATGGCTTGTCACAGCGAAGACAGAAGAAGCGGCAGGGAAGGCAATACCGTAGCAGTAGCAGGGGTAGTTGTAGTGGTAGTCACAGCAAGCCCTAAACCCTAAACCCTAAACCCTAAAACAGCATACACACCAACAACGAGAACGAATGCAATAATCCCAAAGCCAACCACCGCAGAACGAAAGAGACTTTCAACCCTTTCAGGCAGCTGCTTCAACACGCATCCGGACCGAGGCCATGAACTTACTGAGGCCTTTTGCGCCGGCTTTTCCTTGGCAGAGTCCTGGGTTTAGGGGTTTGTAGGATTTAGAGTCTTGGGTTTAGGGGTTTAAAAGATTTAGAGTCCTGGTTTTAGGGGTTTATAGGATTTAGAGTCTTGGGTTTAGGGTTTATAGGATTTAGAGTCTTGGGCTTTGCACTCCTGTCTCGAACGAACTGTAAACTGCAAACCCTAAATCCTAAAACTAAACCCTAGCTAAACCTAAACCCTAAACCCTAAACCCTAAACCCTAAACCCTAAACCCTAAACCCTAAACCGTCACAGAAGTCTCAGAGACCGTGTTCCGCGAGGGGCTTTCTGGATAATGCACCGGCCCCTCCGGCCACGTCGTCGCCGAGTGGCTTCCTCTTCAAGGGCCCAGGACCATGGGTTTAGGGTTTAGGGTTTAGGGTTTAGGGTTTAGGGTTTAGGGCCAGGATCATTCAGGTTTTTCTGGGTTTGGGGTTCCCGGTTTCTGGGGATTTGGGTGCTGAGCCCTAAAGCTTGGGATGCTTCAGGTGCAACTAGTGGCACGACAAGAGCTGTATCATCAAGCTCTTGCAAGCCGATTTAGCAAAATTGGTGCTTCGGGGTTGAAGACCCGTGAACGTTCGGGTGTGTTCAGAGTGAGCAGGTGAGTTTGCATAGGGAGAAGATGGGGAGTTGTAGATCAGTCATAAGGGATCCCAACCCAGACCCTCGATAGTAGCATCCGGGATACAAGATCCTCTTGGGATCCTTCGATGCCGTTCTTGCGAGGTACCTCAAGAGGGTCTGCTTGGGTTCACAGAGGAACCGGGCCTCTGAAGCTGCTTTTCAGTTCCATTACGACCGCTATTATGCAAGTTTCTGAGTTTGCTCTTCGTAGCAGTCGTTGAGGGTTGGTGTTCTGGGTTCATAGTCACCACTGTGGTGGCGGCTTCTGCTGCCGTTGTCGCCGTCAGCATCACTACCTATCATTATTATCTATCGTAGCATGTTGCCTGTCATGCTGTTGTCTGGCGGCTCCTTTTGCGCGCTGGGGCCGACCATCTAGGCTGATGATGGTGGCCTTGCTGCTTATCAGGGCACCGAGGATGAGGATAGGCTGAAGATTTGGATAGAGGACGATGAAGATGGTGACGACGGTGGCAAGAAGAATGTAATAAAAGTAAGAAGTACGTTTGCTGATCGCGATGATTGCTCGCTTGCTTGTATTTCTGCTTCTTGCTGCTACTGCGAGTTGTTGCTGCTACTGCCGTTACGTTTTACTATGACTAGTACTTAAGTTAGTTAGTACTACTACCACACTCACTCTACGCGCAGTTATTGCCACTTTGCTATTCCCTACTGCCGTGGAATCGTCTCAACTGCTGCCCGGTTCATGCCGCAATGCAGGAATGCCCTCGAAGCTTTTCTACCCCATCCCCAGCAAGACGTCGCCAAGTGGAATCGAGGCCGACGTCCGTGTCGAGATTTGCAAGGTTGTGTTTCAAGGATGGGACTCGTGTCGTCTGTTGAATCTGCTTCTTCCTGGCTCAAGTCGTGCGACGCCTCGTGTGCAAAGCGCGAGTGCCCCTAAAGCAACCCAGTGATCTCGTAGCATACAACATAACAGAAGATACAAAAAACTACTAAGATATGATGTATGTAGTATACTAAAATGCAATCATAGTCTATTGCAAAAAACTATAAGATGGCCGAAGACATTCCTGGCATCAGTGGGTTCGATCTGGAGGCTTTCCTGGCCTCACAGAAGAGGACAAGCGAAGACGCCCAGCGAGAAGCCCGAGATCCTTTCGGTCGGCATCGCTGGGTCTGTCTTCAGAACCTTCAGACAGAGGCTCTCAACGGCAAGTATGCAGAGATTGTTGTTCCAGCCAACGAAGACGGCCGTTTCGGTGTCCGCGTGCAGGGGGAGCCAGTCCCAAAACTCATCAAGAAAGAGAACCTGAAGCCGATAGATGATGCGGAGACGGTGCAGGTGTGCCGCGTTGCAGCCAAAGGCGAATCACAGTTTATTGGTGGCTACATTCAGAACACACGTTGGCCACGTGCGATTCTGAGCAGCATGTCGGGGACGGTTTCTCCGATTTCGGTGAAACTTGGCTTTCCGCTGCATGTAATTCGGGTCCAGGCTCGTTCCAAGCTCTCAGACCGTGCGGAGTTCGACAATCAGTGGGCTACGTACATGCTCATCGATCCTGGGTCCGGGTTTGCACCAGACGAGTGGCAGTCTTTCGTGGGACCCGTAGTGGTGTGGAGGCCAGATGGAGATGTTTCTTCGGATGATGTGTCTCTTCTGAACGACTTCGTGTCAAACCTCTTAAACGGTCCGTACTGCGAGGGCACTCTCGACCCGGACCGTGACCTCACGCCGGCGGCATGGGCTCGTCATCGCGAGCGCACTTTGGAGAACTTGCGGCTGAACCCGCGCATGGAGCAATACGAAGATCTGCACATCTGAATTGCTTGGCCGCACGTCTGCGATCCGTCCTTTGGGATTGAATCTACAGAGAGGCTTGGTCCTGAGCTCGAGGGGACTGGGATTCTTGATTCGTCGCCTGTTATGTATGCACAATGGACAGTGTATAAACATACAGAGATGTTGAGCCGGGTGGGTGGGCGACTGAATGTCGCGCGGCAGCAGGTCACTACTGAGGAGAGATCCGGCCATGGCCGAAAACGTCTGCGGTGCATTTTCTTTCCTCTAAACCCAAACCTCAAACCCTAAACTGGGTTCTTGTTAAGGGATTTAATTTAAGTTACCATAATAGGGATCTATAGTAAATAATATGGTTTCCTTATTATGGTAACAAGAACCCAGTAAACCGTACATGTTTGCAGCCCTTCTCGTCTCAGCAGTCAGTGTTGCTTGTGCAGTATCGGTCAAATTGGCTGACATATGCACTACATATCCAAGTATGTATTACATCCTGTTTCTGGCCTGGTCTGATGTATACCACTTCTTCTATCACATTACATATATATATATATATATGATCCACCATCTATCTCGCATTATGTATTATCCTTTGATTTGCCGAAGCCACCGCAGGTTGTGCCTGACATCGGACCAGTGGGCGAGCCGACCCCAGAGGCTTGCACTTTTTGGGGGTTTCAGGGGTGCTTTCTTTCGGTGGAGAGGGGGGGGGGGGGTTTGAGGGTTTAGGGCTCAGGGGTTTGAGAGTTTAGGGGGCTTAGGGGGTTTGGGGTTTAAGGTTTCGGGGGGGACTCGTGCAGGTGTTCGCTGCTTCTGGGGGTTCTGCGGGCTTGAAGGATGCAGGGTGTCAGAGCAAAGGTCTGGAAGATGAGGGTTTCGTGGCCTCATTTTCGAGATATTGTATTGACGGAAGGGTCGACGGGGACCCGCATCACTTCAGATTTGAGCCGCGACGACAAAGATGCCTAGTATAGGGCTATACTATTTTTGGAGTTCCTTATTATAATTATGGTATACTATCCCCAAAACCCTGTTCTAATTATGAAGGCCCCTACATTACCTAAAGCCTGAACGGAACCCTGAAGCCCCTGAACCCAGAACCCCAGAAGCCACGTAAACCCTAAGCACTAGTCCCCGAGACCTCTATGTCTGTAAGCCTCCGCAGGGTTTAAGGGTTTAGGGTTTAGGGTTTATGAACCCTCAAACCCGATACGCCTTGCAAGCCCAAGCCAGAACATCCCCAAAGCCAGGATTTCGAGCCCAAGCACCAACGCCTAAAAGCCGTCCGAGTTTCCCGCAGAGCCCAGAATGAGAACCAACCTTCCGCTCGAGGTGCCTGGCGGCATGAATGCACCTGGGGAGACTCGTCGCAGAGTTTAGGGTTTAGATACCTTGGGTTTAGGGCCTCTGGGGTCTATTATGGGGTTTCTGATCAGCGTTTAGGGTGTATAGGCTTGAGGTTTAATGCGGCTCAGGCTGTGAGGCTTAGAGGGGGCTTTGGATGTTCAGTAGTTTCATTCGGTTCACCCAATGACTTGTTTGCCGTGTTGCTAAACCGAATGACAACACTTCGACGAGTAAATGACATGGTGACAGCTCTATTCATGCTAAGACTGCTGATCCTGCTGATAGCGACAATGCTCGGGACTTGAGTTCAATAGCCATCGCGTGATCGCCACCCAGGAATCTTAAGCCCTAAACCCTAAACCCTGACACAACCCCTTTACTCTAAACTCAACCCTACCCTAAACCTTAAACCATAAACCCTAAAACCCAAACCCCAAACCCCAAACCCCAAACCCAGAACCCTGAACCCCAAACCCTACACACCCGACTCCGGTGCTGCAGTCAGGTGGGTCCCTCCTCCTTCGACTCCAACAGCTTCCCGGCTTTCCAGTTGTTGTTTTTTTTTTTTTTTCTTTCCGGGTGGTTTTAAATCAAGTGTCGTATTGTTTGAGATGTATTTTGTGGCGCAGGGTGAAAGCCGATTTGCCGACTTCCAACCTTCAAGCTTTCAGGAGGATTTTGGGGGTTTGGTTTCAGTGTTGCTTCTCTGGCTCTGTACGGGTCCTATGAGGGCAGCTATCAGGTTGGGCCACGGACCCTCCTTTCTCCCACGGCTTCCATGCATCCAGGGCAGGGTTTTCAGGAGGTCCCATCCAGGAGGAGTGGAGGTGCTGACTTGGGTTTGAAGCTTCCGGGTTCTCTCAGCGGGATCTTGCAGAGTTTATGCGGTTTGGTCGGGTGGCTTAAGGCTTCTTGAAAGACCGGGAAGCCGCAGGCATCATGCGCCAGATGACGGGCGGCACCCCTGTGTGAAGGCATCCATTCAAAGGGATGTGCCTCTTCACTTCAATGGTGCTGAACCCTGAACCCCAAGCAGCAGGCCTTGCAGCGAGAAATGTCACGAAAGCAAGTCATCCTGGTCATCCTGTCGCAAGCAAAAGCAGGAACCCGAAGCGATGCCCAAAGCTGGCACAGACGCTCATCGCGCTCCGAGAAAAGGAAGAGGGTTGATGTCTCTGCCAGGCGATTTCAAGCCGGGAGCAGCAGGAACCTCAGTGGAGCCCCAAACCGAAGGGCCAAACCCTGACTTCGAAACTCAGGGTCTTAACCCCTCCTCCTCCGCCTCCTACTCCTCCTCCTCCTCCGACCGCACCTCCGCCAAACAGAACCACCACCACCACCACCGCCACCACCACCACCACCACCACCACCACCACCACCACCACCACCACCACAAGTACAACTACAAGGCTCTGACGCTGCTGCGGTGCTGCTGCTGCTGATGCATGACGATGATGATGGCGGTGGTGGCGAATTCCGAAGTATGCAGGGGTGCAGGAGAGGCTGGTCTGCAGGTCCGCAGCCCTCAACACGGAACCCCCAATCAAGATAGCCGCCCAAGATACCTCAAGTCGAAGGAGCCGCTCCGTGATGCAAGATGGAAGGCTCAGTAGAAAATTTTGGGGATCAAATGCTCCGATAGCTCGGGACGCGCCCGCGGCCCATGCCTCAGTTGCGGCTGTGTGCAACAGTCTGGGCTTTGAAAGATGCCACAGTTTCTAGCACAGAGTGGGGTCGCAAAGGCTGCTTGTGTTGGTGCGGAGGCCTCAGCTTCGCCCTCAATCAATCTGCCTTCCAAAGCACACGTTGAAACCCTAACGCTTCAATATTGGGGTCTGAGCGATTACAAGTACTACTACAGGGTTCCTCAACATAGTTCACCAAACAAACTCCCAAACCCTACTCTAATTATTAAGGCCCCAATCCCAAACCCTTATACAGCCCTTGAAGGAGCCATATTTTAGCTCTAAATTTCCCCATATGTTAGCCTTGTGCCCCCTGCTGCAAAGGTGAGGGCCTTGCCGTCCCCGGCATAATGTCCGCCCCCCAGGATGACTCTGAAGAAGGGGTATAGAGTTCGGGTTTAGGGTTTAGGGTGTTTTGGGCTTAGGGTTTCTTGTTTATGAGCCTTAAACCCTAAAACACCTAAACACTTCACTCCAATCCTTAACCCTGGAAGGGCCTAAACCCCGCACAAATAAACCGCTAAGCCCTGAGGCTCTACGGCAAATCAAAGTTTGTTGTTGGTCTTCGGTTGGAGGGGTGCTGCTCGACCACAAATATTGCACATTTGGCAACCGTCTCTGCTCTTTACCCACCCCTGAAGTGTCGTGACATGTCACGAGGGGTTTCACGGTGTGGACCTCCACAACTTGACTTCTGTTAGATCTTAGTGTGAGCACGCTATGGCTGCGGAGGGCTTGTTGAAGTCAGATCTCCCCCTGAATTCCCACGAGAAATTCAGATGGTTCATGTTTCGACAAAGTTCAGAAACCCTCTTTTCCTAAACACTAAGCCGTAAAAGCTTAAACCCTAAAGGAGATAAGTCCAGTGACAGGGTTTCACTAGGCGCCTTCGCGCCTATGTTTATGCACGCCCGCCACAACTTCAAGTTCGTCTCATTATTCACCCAAAACCCCTAACCCGACACCTTAAACTAAATGGTAAACCCAAGTTAGTAAGACTCTGACATCCTGAAGCATGGCTGCAAAAACATTACAGGCAACGTGTGGAGATCCTTTCAGTGACTCTTATGTTTGGCTGCTCCTGGGGGTGTTTCTCAACACGCTAAACCCTAAACCGGAGGAAATCCTAAATCCTAAGCCCATAAAGAGATCCTAAACCCAAAGCCCCAAAACTAGAGGTGGCTTTCCTGAGCTTGCGAGGGAACACAATCCGGAAAAAAGGCCTAGAAGCTCTTTCAGAGTACTTGCTTCGTGTCTTTTTTGCGGTGCAGGCCCCAAACCCTAGACCCTAAACCCTTAAACCCTCGAACCCTTACACCTTAAACCCTAAACCCTGTAGCCCAGAGCGTCGAAGTGCCTCCGAGGTGGGGCGCCGTGCAAGCGCTGGTTTCCCAGAAGCCCAGCCTTTTCTTCGATTCCAGTGTTCAGTTTGGGGTTTAGGGTTTCGGGTTTAGCTTAGGGTTTTCCTTGGGGGGTTCAGTTTGGGCTTTGAGGTTTAGGGTTTCGGACCCCTAGACCCAGACCCTGAGCCCTCTGTTGTTTCTGCTGCACTTGCCGCTTTCTCCAGCGATGTGTCTGCGTTGCATCTGTGGGTTGTCACGCAAAGCCTTCATCAACCAGAAACCAAGGTTGGCACAATTGCTGTTGTACTCTTTCTGTTGCACTCCTTTTCCCATTCTGATTCTCCTTGATCATCAAAGCACCATCGTCATCATCAGCGTCGTGGCCACACTGCGCGCCGTAGGGAGCTTCCCTAAGGCAGCAGCATTATGGCTGGCCGCAGCAGTCGGCAACTGAGCTTGCATGACGCTTGTAGCTGCTGTTCAGAGGGCTGCAGCAGATGGTCGGTTAGGCTCAAATCTTGAAGACCCCGGAATCCATTCATCCCAAAAGCCCAAACCCTAACCCTTCGCCTTCAACCGCAAGCCCCGAGCCGGAACCCTAAACCCTAAACCCAAAACAGGTGTTCCTTTAGACCGCCGGGATGAGGGAAAAAGGCGCTAGACCTAAACCCTAAACCCTAAACCCTAAACCCTAAACCCTAGACCCTAAACCCTAAACCGCCGGTCAACGACGCGATTTTTCATGGGCCCAGGGCTGCATGGCCCGGGTCCGCAGCGC